TTATTCTTTCTTTGTCTTTCTTTCTTTCTTTGCAAGCCTGCTTCACTATCTGAGATCCTGTCCTCACATTGGCCTAACCTGCTTCAGATACTTTCAGTGGAGTTTTTATCTCCTAGATGTCTGCTTGAATCTGCTTATGGATTCCATTTGTTTCTTATGCTGAGCTTCCATAGTTTTCTTAAGCTCGTCTAGGTTTTTGGTTTTTTTTTTTTTTTTTTTTTTTTTGAGACAGGGTCTCGCTATAGAGTTCAGGCTGGCCTTGAGCTCACTTTGTAGCCCAGGCTGGTCTCTAACTCTCAATCCTCCTGCCTCAGCCTCCCAAGTGCTGGGATTACAGATGTGAGCCACCACACCTGGCTCCCTCTAGCTTTTTTTGGTCTGTATCAGCCTTAGTTATCTGAGGGGCTGGGGATATAGCTCAGTGGCACAGAGCCTGCCTGGCAAGTGTGAATCCTGAGTTCAACTCCTAGTGCAAAACAATAACAGCAACCACACCAACAACAAAAAAAGAGTTTCGCTTGTAGTTATCAGAGAGATTATTTCTAATTTCATTTTTTCTAGTGTTTTCAATTTCTTTGTTGTTACCACTTCAAAGAGGCCTAGTGGGGGTGTTCAGATTGTCCCAGCTCATTGCTCCCTGGATTTGCCTTTACTGAACTGGATGTCTGGGGTGCATTTTGCTTAAGTGTCTTCTCATTTTTTCTCCCTTTTTTTTAGTTTAATTCCTGGGGTGATGCTTGTAAGTCACCTATGGTGGGTGGCCATATTGGTGGTCTTTAGGACCCTTAGGTGATGACGGCCTCCCTGAGATATCTTCCAGGGGTAGCTGGGTTTTGGGTTTTGAGTCTGCTGGAAGATCTCACCTCTTCAGTTCGTTGGAGATGAGACGGTGTTGCTTGTTTGGCTCAGTCCTGGTACTATGGCACTGTGCCCAGTGTTTCTTGTGAATCTTAGTCAATCTCAGTCATGGAATACCAGGACCAACAGCTGTTTTGAGCAATTATGTCAATTTTGGCTACAGTGACAAACTGAGCTAACCCCTAATTTGTCACTTCTAACCATATGAACTAGGTTTGTGAATACATAACAAAACCAGAAAATTGTATGCAGTATAGAAGTCCTTAGTGTGTCCATTTTGCCCCCAGGGGTTAAAATTTAAAGTGGATTAAAGAGAAAATAGAGATGTGGAAGAAGAGGAAGAGATTAGAAGATTGGAGGACAAAAGTTCACCAACTTGGGGAAACTGGTGCAGAAGGCTGAAGGAAAAGAGAGACAGAAGAGATAAAAGGAGAACAGAACAGAACCACACCCACAAAGAGGGTAGGAACCACGCTCACACTCAAAAATGATGAAGGAGAAAGAGAAAAGAGAAAAAGGAAAACAAAGTCCACTTCCACAATTCTCTCTGGTTTTACTGGAAGACAACCTCTGGGGACAGAGTCCCGAAGCATGTGATCTCTCCCAGCAGGCCATGGTAACTTTTCAGCGGGTGGTGGGTTATCTCAGCAGGCAGCCCTGGGACCACACACTGAGCTCGGCACCGTGTAAGCAGTTTCTGCAGGCCTGAGCCCAGCTGGGAGCTGCGAGATGGAGCCGGCAGCAGTTCTAGGTTCTGAGCTGGGTCACCCATCTCCAAGATGGCTCCCAGCCAATTGCTCTCTGCCTTGGGAGGACTGAGTCCTCTGTAGTCACCACCAGCCAGTGCAGCCCTCCACATTCATTGGTCCTCTCCACTGCTGCGTCTCTCTGCAGAGGCCCCTAGCGTCACCAGGCACCACCATCACGGTCACCATCACTGTCACCATGTGTCCACAGGCTTGAACTGCTCCTCTCACACAGTTTCACCCATCTCAGGGCGAAACCACCACCAGGTACTGCCTTCTTCTCCCTGAAGTTTTTCTCTTTACTCTCTCTGTGGGCTTCAGTTAGCACTTTGGATTCTTTCTGGGTCCAGGGGCCCTATCTCCCTCTTTTCTGTCTTCCTCATGATGCATTTGGATGGCAACTCTCTGAGGGATTGTTTTCTCTGCTGCTGACTGTCCCGCCTTCTTGGTCTTCCTTCTCCTGATTTTAGAGGCTGGGAAGTCTGAGCTCAAGACCCTGGAAGATTCAGGGTCTCCCAGGGTTGACAGATGGCCCTTTCTTGTCACATTTCCACATGGTGGAAAGGCTAATGAAACTCTCTCAAATCTCTTTGATAAGGGCACTAATCCTACTCTTGAGGGCCCCACCTTTCTGACTTTATCAATCCCTAGAGACCCCAGCACTAAATACTAACTTAGGAGGTCACGGCAGGCACCTGCTGTCTTCCTCGGGCCTACACTGTCCTGGTTCGCTTGGACCTCAGGGTCTCCTGGGATACTGGAGAAAACCAGGGTGGTGCTCACTGTGGACCAGAGCCTCACACAGCACCCAACTGAGACTATGGTTCCCCAACACAGCCTGACCTTCATCTCCTTGCTGTTCAGCATCTGCCCCATGCCAGTGAGGCCACCGCACCCGCACCAGACACTGGAGAAAAGGCCTCAGGGGGGTGAGAAGATTTTCACCCAAGACAAAGACAAACAACCCAGGTTTACAATAGGCCAAGAGAAAAGTAGGCAGAGCCTTGAATAGATACACAAATGACCCAGCTGCTCCAGGAATGACGCTCAGACCCATTTGTCATTACAGAAACCAAGTGACAGCCACCATGTGGTCCCACTTTATTCCCACTGGGATGGCTACAATTAAAAAGAAGCAGACAAGGAGCAAGTACTGGCAAGATCAGAGTCCTCGGAGCCCTCAGCGGTGGCTGTGGGTGCAGCTCTCTGTAGACTGAGGAGCTGGGTTGCTGCAAACAGCTCACCCTTCTGAGCCTGAATTCTTGGACAAGTTTTGGTCTCAGCCTCAGTTGATCTGGCCACAAAAATGGGGCTACCATGTACTATGCAGATGGTTTTATGTCTTTTCCTCCTCTTAGCAGAGGCTCAAGGTCCTTCAGACTAAATTTGCCGGCTGACGGGGGCTATGGAGTCTCAAAGTCTAGGGCCAATTACTGTGTCGAGTTCAAGTTTGCTGCATGGGGTTCGCTTTGGCCCCAGGCACCCAGCTCTCTCAGCAGGGCGTGTGCAGCCAGCCAGGCACTTCCTGCTGCAGCTGCACGAGGCGTCTTCCAGCTCCTAGGTTTAACTGGCTGCTTCGGTCTCTGAATCCCAGGACATGGCCCACAGACGAGGCCCCAGATGAGTCCCAGGAAGGAACACTGGTCAAACCTCTCTTTCTGCGAGTAGGAACAACAGGTTTCTGATACTGAGGGCCTCCTTCCCCAAAGCCCGGCTTTGAAACCACACACCCTGCAGCCCCTGTCAGGGTTACATAACTGGGGTCATGCTGTGACCTTGTGGTCCTTGCCCTGGCCTTAGGATCTGTTCAACAGTCCATTGGAGAGCTACCAAGCCAGCCAGACACAGCAACCCAGGGATGGCCAGAGTATCGGGGCAGTGGCTGCTTCTGTTCTTTCAGGAGAGGAATCCTTAACGTTACTATGGGAGCCAGGGATTTAGCTCAGCAGCGCTAAATCTTCTTGCCTGACAAGCATAAGGTCCTGAATTTTAATCCTTATATTTAAAAAAAAAGGATTACGGGGCTCAGCGGCATAAGCACCTGCCTTGCAAACAGGCAGTCGTGAGTTCGATCCCTGGTACCGATAAAAACAAAAAAGACCAAAAAAAAAAAAGGATTACTATGGGAATTCGGGTGCATGTCGGTAATCCCAGCACAGGGGAGGCTGAGGCAGGAGAATCACTGCAAGTTTCGGCTAGCCTAGGCCACATAGTGAGTCATTGTCTCAAAGAAAAGTAAGTAAATCACTGGGCATGGTGGCTCATGCCTGTAATCCCAGCACTCGGGAGACTGAGGCAGGAGGATTATTGTGAGTTCGAGACCAGCCTGGGCCACAAAGTGAGCTCAAGACCAGCCTGAACTGCATAGCATGAGACCCTGTCTCAAAAAAGACAAAAAAAGACAAAAAAAAAAAAAAAAAAGAAAGAAAGAAAAGTAAGTAAACCAAAAGGAAGGAAAGAAAGACAAGTTGACTATGTTGTCTTTCTTTCTTTCCTCCTAGAGACACTACAGAGAGAGACCTGGCCTTTGCCACCCGGACATCAACACAAACTGATCCAGTGACTGCTGGGACTTGAGCCTGAGAGCACATGAAGGACAAATGGGCCTCCATATACACTTTTATTTTATTTTATTATTTTGAGACAGGGTCTCATTTCATGTAGTAATTCAAGTTCAACTTGGCCTTGAATTCACTGGCCCTGAAATGGTGGAGACCTTCCTGCCTCAGCTTCCCAAGTACTTGACTAGGTGGGTGCTACCGTGTCCAGCGAGAACTGCTCCTTTTAAACCTCTGTGGTGCTCATGTGCGGCTAAAGCCCCAGCTAAAGGGCTATGGCACTGAGTCTCAGTCCTCAGTCACTGTCCCCCAACACACACCCAGACAAGACCAGTGCTTGAAACGGCACTGCCAAAGCCCAGGGTGATCAGGGTTTGTACGCACTCATGTGCATCTGTAGAAGCCCTGCTCCCAGGACCAACCCTCCTGTCAACCACCGACCAGCGGAAGGAGGTGGAGCGGGCGGGGCTCCTGTTCCTCCTCAAAGCCCTCACTCCCAGAGGCGCCTCTTTAGGCCCTGCTGGAGTCTTCCAAAGCCTCTCTGTGGGCAGGAACATCCCTGCTCTCTGAGAAGCACCGTGAATTCCGCCTGCTTTTCCTCCCATCCTCAGGAGGTGCGGCCTGTGCCCCCACAGACCTCTGTGGCCACCCACAGCAGGACGGGACTGCTTTCAGCACTGCCGCCCTGGGTTGTGCAGTCAGGAATCCTGAGCCTGGCTGCGCACTGGAGCCACCGCTCTTGATGCAGGTCCTGGAAGAGTCAGGCACCCCAGCCCCAAGAGGCTGCGACCACATGGCCCAGTCTCAGCTCCTCTTCTGTCCCCTGCCCTGCACTCACCACCACTCGGGTGCTGTTATCTGGCAAGGTGTCGATGGCCAGGGTGCCTCCACCAAAGTCCTGGCTCAGCTTGGTCCTGTCCATGTCCGACACCTGCCCGGGGCTGTCTCGGGCTCTCCGGTGCCAACCCCGGGTGGTCCCCTGGGTAGCCCAGGCAAAGCCGTGACCTTCATCCTGATCTAGAAAAGAAGAGACAGAAAAATGAGCATCAGAGTCCAGAGTGAAGATTTGCACACACATCTGAAGTAATCTGTGGAACATTGTGAGCTCCAAAGGGCTTGAGTGATTCCACCTCTATGGCACTTCTGGTGGTCACAGCTCCACAGTTTCTCTCTTAGGCCTGCTCTGCTCCCTCCTTGCAGCTTTCCTTAGTTGACCCACATTCCTGGCTTTTCCAGACCTCTGGGGTCTCTACTATACCTTTGGCTTCACCCTTACAGCTTCAGATACAGCCCACTCAGGGGCACACTGCCTGGCCTCTTAGGCCTTCTGAAATCGAGGTGGAAGCCTTTTTAACCCTTGTATTCTGTATGCACTTAAAACTGGCACCATGTGGATGGTGCTCAAGTCTGCTGCCAGCTAGAGCAGTAGCCAGGCTTTCCTGTCTCTTGGCTATAGGGGTTGATTGCCTGGATCACTGGGCACTGGAAATCCAATTCTGAGCAACAAATTTTCTAATTTTCTATGCCACTGCCTTTCTAGACCGTAGTGCTCTGCGGCTTTCTCCTCAAAGCAAATTCTTTCACTTTTGCAGTTTTGAGGCTGCAAAGTGTGGAGACCCGCTGCTTTTTGTGATGCCTTTAGGCTGTCTTTTCTATTCTCCTGTTCCTTCTCAGCAATCAAGATCTCCTCATGTGCTCTGCAGTCCATAGCTTTACTGGAGCTCTTTTCTGGCCAAACTCACAACATTTTAAACTTTCCTGCTAGGCCCTTTGCTTTGGATTTGCAACATAAACCTGACTAAAAGCCCCCAATAATAGCCATGCTACAGCCTTAACATTCAACTGCCTTGAATTTCTTCTGCCAGATTAATTAGTCTAGCATCCTTAATCTTACTGTTAGGTAAAGTCTCTGGACATGAGCAAAATGCAGACATACTTTCTTCCAAGGTATAACACACATTGTCTAGAGGAAAACCAGTACAGTTCCTCCCAGCAGAAACCTCCCAAGCCTGGTCTTTACCAGCAGGGTTTCCATCAGCTTTCTAGTCATCTGAACTCTCACCAGAATCTCCCACACAGAACAAATTAAGGTGTTCTGGTGCTACCCTTCTGGGCCACATCTCTGAACCTTTCCAGACTTTCACAAGCCATTCTCAAAGAGTTTTTGAGGATGGTCAGATACAGTCACAGCAGTGACCCCACTCCTGGTACCAAATTCAGTCTTGGTTATTTTTCTCTTGTTGTTGAGACAAAATATCTGATACCCAAAATTGTAGACATTTCAGCACAATCAGCTGACTCCAAAGCAGGATGACATGCCACAGGGGCAACACTTCAAGGTGACAGAAGACAAAAAATCAGCAAGAACAAAAAGGAAGCGAAGAGCCAGCCTCTTTTCTCCCTTACATTGTGAGCAGGCTGTCCACCCTCACCATCCCCTGGGCCTCTCCTCTTGCATAGGTTTAGGATGTTTACAAAATAAGGACCCTGAGTCCATGCTGAATCACTTAGTTAAACTTTTTTTTTTTTTTTTGGTACTGGGAATCAAATTCAGGACCTTGTGCTTGCCAGGCAGGCATTTATGTCACTGAGCTATATCACATTGTTTTTTTGAGACAGGATTTTGCTATGAAGTTGAGGCTGGCCTTGATCTCATTGTGTATCCCAGGCTGGCCTTGAACTCAAGGCAATCCTCCTGCCTCAGCCTCATAAGCACTGGGATGACAAGTGTGTACCAACACATTTGGCTACTTGCATATTTTAGCAGATGTGAACAATGCTGCTAACAGTGTACAAACACCTCTGTGAGATCCCATTTACAATTCTTTGGGGCAATACCCAGAAGTGGTCACAGAGTAACTCTTACTTGTAATTTTTTGAGGCTTCCTTACACTGTTCCTATACAGAACAGTTGTAGCATTTTGCAACCCACCCCATCCCCATCCCGAGGTCCTGGCATCTCTCTGTTTGGCAGAAGCCACCTGGCAGGCACATGCTAGCCTTGTGCTGATGCCTTCTAAGGACTCACAAGGCTGAGCCTGGTCCTGTGTACCCCCTGGCCCTTGAGTGTCTTCTTTTGAGAAAGCTCCATTCCCAGCTTCTCAGAGGAGTCCTCCACTGGGCTGGGGAGTCTAGGCAGGGCTCCTTGTGAACAGTAAGGTGCTGGCTTCTGCTCCTGCTGCTAAGTGGGACTGAAAATGTCCCCAGATATTGGGAAGCTCCCATGAAGTCATAGCCCCTCTCTCCTACCACTGAGAACCATCTCTTCGGTCCTAACCCTGGGGCAACTCGCTGCCCCCAAAACCAGAGTCACACAGGTTTCACCTCCAAGCCATCTCCAGTCCCTTAGCAACAGCCAGGAGCACAGCACAGGCACATTGCAGAATCGGCAACTAGTAAGGTCTAGTCAGGTGTTCATACCTGTAATCCCAGCACTCAGGAGGCTGAGGTAGGAGGATTGTTGCGAAGTGGAGGCCAGCCTGGGCTACAAAATGAGCTCAAGGCCAGCCTGAACTGCATAGAGAGACCCTGTCTCAAAAGGACAAAAAACTAGTAAGGTCTGCCTGGCCCAGGGTCAGAAAGTGGCCACCTGCAGGCAGCGATCCTGACTCCATCTCTCTCTGCCTCAGTCTAGGTTGCTATATTAATTCTAAAGGACACGAAATGAATCTCTTCCCATTTCAGAGCTTCCTGCCCCCAAAGCTGTGCTTCATACTGTCATGCTATCATTCCAATTTTTAAAACTTTTTTTGAGACAGAGACTTGCTATGTGGCCCAGGTTGGCCTCAAATTCATGGTGATTCTCCTGCCTCAGCCTCCCTAGTACTGGGATCACAGGCATGCACCATCCTATCTAGCTGTCATATCTACTCTGGATGTATAACAGACAATGCTGCATAATTGAGACCTCAAAGCTGCAACAGGACTTGGTCAGATCAGGCCCGAGCTGGGGCCGGGGAGGCTGTTTCGCCATCAGACGTTTTGCTCAGTGAAGCCCTTCCGGCTGCCATGCCTCCCACAGCCTCCCCAGGCCCCTTGCTTCGCTCTCCCAGTCACAACCAGACACTCCCAGAGAACACAGGGAGGAGTGGAGCCAGACCATCTCCAGGGTGCCCCTGGACTGCCCACGGTTGGCACAGAGCCCACCATGCAGACAGCCTGGCCCGTGCCTGGTGACTACCCCACACAGGAAGTCCCAGCCAGAGGCTTCACCACACAGCTGGCCCAGCCCAGCCCACCCTGCTACACACATACTCCCCTCACCATCCTAGCTCAGACCGGGGCATGGATGCCAGAAGGAAACCAGCATTTCCTGCTGCCAGCATTGTTAATCCCCTGGGTATCTCAGACACCAGGACTAAGAGACCTTGCCCCAGGGACAGCCCCTGGGAGCCCCAGGTTCACCCCAGACCAGAAAGCTTGCACTTGGAACCAGAGGAGTTCAAAGCTGAACCTGGACTCTACCATTCAGTGGGACCCTGGACATGTTGCAAAGAATCTCTCTAAACCTCAGTTTTCACATTTGTAAGATGAAGATGAGAAAATCTCTACTTGAGCTGATTGTGGTAGCACACATCTGTAATGTCTCTGGGAGGCTGAAAGGTTTAAAGCTCAACCTGGGGAATTTATCAACTTAGTGAGATGCTGTCTCCAAATAAAAAATAAAAAGGTCTCAGCTGGGCATTGTGGTGCATTCCTGTAATCCCAGCACTTGAGAGGCTGAGGCAAGAGGATCACTGTAAGTTTGAGGCCAGCCTGGGCTACAAAGTGAGTTTGAGGCCAATCTGAACTGCATAGTGAGACCCTGTCTCAAAAAGACCAAAAGAAAAAAAAACAAAAGATCTGAGGATACAGCTCAGTGCAAAGGCCCTGGGCTCCCTCCCCAGTATTAAAAGAAAAGAAAACTGCACTTTGCCACTTGGTGGGCTGTTTTGGGTCTTTAACAAAATAATTTTTTTTGAGTCAGGGTTTCACTATGTACTTCAGGTTGGTTTTGGGCTCATTTTGTAGCCCAGGCTGACCTTGAACTCCAAGCAACTCTCTTGTCCCAGCCCCCCTAGTGCTGGGATTACAGGCTACCACGCCCTGCAACAAAAAAGCAACCACCAAAGTCTCCAGCTGTCTCCTGTTTCCACGCACAGACCAACTTTCTGAGTTTCCGGGGAACCCACTCTCCCCCGGCAAGGCTCCAGCTGCTAAACTACTAGGCTTCCAAACCCCCACCACACCCTGTACCTCACGCTGGCGTCAGACACCCGGCAGGACCCTCCCCAAGGAAGGGCCCCAAGAGAAGGGGGCTTTCTGGGGGGCGAGTCTGGCGTCTGGGCGCCTCTAGTCCACTCGCTCGCGCAACAGCACCCACGTATGGTGCCCCTACTGTATGTGAGGGAAGCCACCAGGGCAGGACACAGCGGGGTGCCGGGAGAGGACCCGGAGGCTGAGGAAGAGACAGTAAAATAGCAAGTTGCATAGGTGCGAGATAGCAGGTTCGGGGCCACTGCCACCCTCAGGGAGAGGGACGCCTCCCAGCCCGGTACTCCCACCCGCCCCGGACCCGGCTCAGACCCCCTCGGTTACCCCAGAAGCGGAGAGGATGAGGCAAGAACGCGGACGGGAGCCTGGCCAAGAGTGACCCGGGGTCCCCTACAGGAGCCCAACCCTGGGGTCCCCGGGGTCCTTCCAGGAGGAGAGGTGAGCGCGCCTGGGAAGCAGGTTCCTATCCACTTGCCCACAGCCCCCGGGACCCCGCGCTCGGTGACATCACCGCCGCCGGCCACCTCGGCGCCCGTCGTACCTGCTCCGGGGTGCGGGGGCCTCAGTGAGCGAGCGGCCACGCAGAGCACCAGCGCCAGCAGCCAGTGCGCGGCACGCATGGTGGCGCTGGACCAGGAGCTGGCGACGCGGGGCTGAGCCAGTTGCGGGGTGGGGTGGGGGAATGGGCGTGGTCCCCCAAAGCTCCACCCAACCCCGCCTCCTAGCCCCAAGAAAGGGGACACGGGCTGGTCCAGGGAATGGGCGTGGCCTCCGTTCTAGCTCCTCCCTAATCCCGCCTCCTAGTCTCCAGGAACCTGGAATCTTGAAGAGGAGAACCCCACCGAGCACCCGCTGCCTGGGCCAGAGCTTCTGCCAACACCCCCGCCCCAACTTCGCCACTTTCTGAGCCGCTGTAGGAATCCGTGGGTTTGTGATATCATGCATGCGCGCGCACTGACGCGGGCGCGCGCCCCAGAGCCCCAGCCCAGCCCCAATTCCACTCCCCGCGTGAACCCAGCCTGAGCCATGCGTCCCTGGCTCTGGGGACACAGCGTCTTCGTTTCTTTCAGGACAGAATAAAAATACCTGCGGTTCAGCAGCGGAGATAGATGGCGGGAATCGGGTCAGGACGCGGAGGCGTTTGTGACCCACTTCGCAGGAAAGAGGAGCCGGGGAGACAGAGAAGGGCAGAGTCGGGGACAAAGAGGAGTCCCGGCCTAGGAGGACGGGCACGGTGTGGGCTGGAGGCGCACCCTGACCGTCCAGGTAACCAGGAGCTCAGGGAGGAGGCAAACAGCTAAGGCTCCCTGGGCGCGGAGGCGCACGTTGGAGTCCCAGTGTTTTGGGAGGCTGAAGCAGGCGGATCACAAGTTAGAGCCCATACTGGGTAATTTACCAATTAAGCCACATTTAAAACTAAAAAAAGGTTAGGGACGAAGTTTAGTAGGAAAACCCTGAGTCCAGTCCTCAGTACCAAAACCAAAAGCAAACCAATCCTAAAAGGTCCCCAATTCCTCAACTCCAAATCCTCTCTCCTCAGTACACAGGAACCGGAGACGACCTCCTCCAGCCTTAGATTAGGACTCCTGGACGGCGGCAAGTCTTTCCTTTTCCATTTCCAACCAAAATCCCAGCTGCAGCGATTTTGCAACGGGATCCACCGCTGCCCCGTCGCGCTGCGGCCTCCTGCGCCCTCCAGTGGCCACATGCAAGGCTGCAGGCCCGCGCCGCGGTCTCCTGCTCTGCCGCCGGTCCCTGCTCTGTCCGGGTGTTGACGGACAGAGGTCTGGGACTGTGCTTGCCAGGGATCCCCAGCAGTGGCCGGGCCCGACCGCCCGCGATCTGACCTGTAAGGGGCCTCAGCGGGCTCAGAAGGAAACACAGTTTGGTAATATCAGAACCAAGCGTCACACAGATTTTTAAACAGCGCTCACCTGAATCGCTTGGAGCGTTTATTAAACAGACCTCCGGCCTCTTCTGCAAGGTCTTAATTCACTGGGCGCGGGCATCTGCTTCTTTAGGTGGACCTTGGACCTGGGTGATGTCGCGGGTCATGGGATTTGGAGTCGCCTGCTCTGGAAATTGTTTCTCCCTAATGCCCAAAAAGGTGATGCCTAAGGCAAAAACAACATGCCAATTGGAAAAACAAAAATAAAAGTGCAGCTCGGTCAGTTTTCAAAATAGACCACCCAGGGGGCACCCGGATTTGAACCGGGGACCTCTTGATCTGCAGTCAAATGCTCTACCACTGAGCTATACCCCCTCTGCTGGTAGCCGTGCGCCGGTAACACCTTAATTCTGTTTGCGCGCAGGCGCAATGGCGCGCTCAGGAGAAAAAGGCAAATCTAAGCACTTGGGTACACAAGAAATAGACAAAATGAAGAAGCCACAGGTGATTACTTGGAAACATAAGGATTCCCGAATCTCTGAGCTAATAACTCCTACCGGTGGTGTAAAAATTGTGATCGAAAAGTGTGGAGGCGACGACCTTCGAGATCGCTCACTTTGGGAGCGTCCCTCCAAAGCTAGGGTCCCCTCTTCTGTTCCCCGCTACCCCGCCCGGCCTCTCCGCAACTTCCTCCCTCGCCTGGCTTCTCCCGGCTTCCTTTCTCTCTTCAGTCCAAGCGCGACCTTTAGCAACTCATTCCCTCTCTGAGAGAGACCCTCATGGGGAGCCCATGACCTGAAATGAGTCCCCTGAACCCCTCAATGCGTCATTAACATCCTCCGCGGTGCACCAGAGCTCCCGCCCCTCGCTCCCGCAGCTCCTGCCCTTGTGCACACACATGAGCATGCGTAGAGGAACACTGAGGCCAGGGTTGCACCTCAGCAGCCAGCAAAAGCACGGATGATGAACCTTGAGGGTCACCGCCCATGACTCCTCTGGATCTGGAAGGCAAGTCCTATGATTGGGGTCTGGGACACTAACGGAACACGAAAAAAAATCACTCTCGAAGGGGGCACCCGGATTTGAACCGGGGACCTCTTGATCTGCAGTCAAATGCTCTACCACTGAGCTATACCCCCATCTCGGTTCTGCTGGTTCCCAACAATGGATTTTCTGGTGCAACCGAAGAGCGGGGACCGTTTCCTGCAATTTTAATCTGAGAATTTTACCCAAAATAATGTAAAGCAGTCAGACGTGATGGTGGATGCCTGTAATCCCGGCATTCAGGAGGCTGAGGCAGGAGGATTCCCAAGAGTTCAAGGCCAGTCTGGATTACATAATTCAAGGTCAACCCGTGCTACACAAGGAGATTGTGCCTCAAAAAACAAAACAAAACAGAGCAAAACAAACAAATAATCTAAAGCAAAAAAAAAAAGTTCAAAATAAGAAGGAAAACTAGAATTCCTGCGTTTTCCCTTCAGAACCATGTCTCTCGGGAAAACCCTAAAATTCAAGGGTTCCAGGCCCTCTGTTCCAGTACCTGGGACCCCCAACACACAGACACACCCTGCCTGGCTTGGGAAGGGGAGACCACTTATCCCCAGGACCATGCCCATCTCCTAGGGCAACAGCACTGCCCCCTGACCGCAGAAGCGTTTGGTCTCCATCCAGCTTCGAGCCCCGACATCAACATGGAACCACTTAGGCCCCCACCCAGGGTGCCGGGTTTACCCAGCTGCGGTTCCCGCCCCTTCGCCAGGGGTCCGCATCTAACTACTATTCCCCCTCCAGCCTGGAGCTCCCCTTGCTGGCTTCCTAGCCCGGTGTCTGCCCAGCTGCGAGGGAGCGTCCTCACAGGCCACAAAAGTCCATCTCCCAGCCAGGGGGACCCTGAGACAGCTCTTCAGCCCTGTTTCCAAGGGTTTTTATTCTGAGAGTTTTGCACAAAGACTAAAAACCAATTGAGGAGCCCAAAAGAAGACAGGAACAGCCTGCAATCGTGCACGTTATACCTTTGCTCTTTTAAACCAACGCAGTGTAAATTTAAAAAAAAAAAATCATCACACAAGGACAAAAGGAGCCGGCCCTGTAGAAATCTGAACCTTTGGGAGTGGGGTTCACTTATGAAAGGCACTAAGAGGGAAGGGGGTGTCGTGGAGGTGGGCTTAAACCCCAAAAGCTGTGGTCCGAGTCTGCATCTAGGCAAGTGCTCTGCCGCTGGGTTACACTCCAGCCTTATTTTAAGATAAGTGGTGGGCTTGAATTTATGATCCTCCTGCCTCAGCCTCCAAGTGCTGGAGTCACCACTATGCCTGACCTGGGGTGCTTTCTCCTTGGCCTTGGTGCTCTTTCTGTATTGCAGGAAATTGGGGCATCATCCCACTCACGCTGCCCACGGCACGGCACCATGCCTGCAGAGGACACTGGTCTGACGTAGCCCTGGAGCCAGCTGGAGCCAGAACCCAGGGTTCTGATGGCCCAGGCTAGACAGTCGATAACTCTCCATGATGTGTGTGCATCAGGCGTGGAGTGGATGTGGCACGTGTGGTCTCTGGTGCCACTGAGTGAGGAACTGGGAGGCCACAGTGTCATGGGGTCCTTTATGCTCTGCTTATAGGCAAAGATCAGAATGGATCAATGGCCCCAGTCCCAAGACCTCCTGGGCTCTGTCCCCAGCTGTTCCAGCAAGACAGGCCCAAGTCAGGGTGAGGGTGAGACATGAAGCCCCGACCCAACAGCAGCACCACAGCAAAAGGACGGCCGTGAGCCTCCATAACTGTGCAGCCTTTGCTGGTTTTTTGTGAGTGGTTATTGTCCTTGCTACTGTTTGGAGACAAGGTCTTGCTATGCAGTTCAGGCGGGACTTGAACTCACTATGTATCCCACATTGGCCTCAAACTCATGGTGATCTTCCTGCCTCAGCCTCCAGAATGCTGAGATTACAGGTGTGCACCACCACGCCCAGCCACAGTACATTCTTGTACTGTTTGATTTTTTTCTGGTGCTATGGATTCAACCCAGGGCCTTTGCACTGAAGTGCATCCCCAGCCTTTTTTATTTTGAGACTAAGGCTCACTAAGTCTCTTAATTCCTCAGCCTGGACTCCCATTTTCAATCCTCTTGCCTCAGCCTCCCCAGGTGCTAGGATTACCAGAATGCATACAACGCACAGCTTCTAGTTTCTAAAAATCCTTTTAAAAATCTTGTCCTGAGTAACTGAAGTGTTGCGAGCACCCCAATCCGCAGCGGTAACCCCGACCGTAAAGATGAGGAGGCTCCAGGCTTGCTTGCTCAGCTCCCTGAGAAGCGGTGGGCCCGGCCTGACCCGAGCTTGGCAAAGGCGATCGAGGTGGAGTAGGGATCCCTGCCAAGGGGCGCCAGGAGGTGGGCGGGCAGGAGGCAGTCTGTCCACACTGGCCGCGTTGAAAATGGATACGGGGTAGAGGGCAGGAGGCAGTGAGAACAGAGGTACCCGCGACATGCGGGACTCGAAGGCCAGGCTGAGGCCACCGCCCCAAGAGGGTCACCCCGTGGTCACCCGGCCTCCCCTCGCCGCGCCTCGCCGGACCCAAAGGACGCTCGTAATTGGCTCACAGGCCTGTCAGTCCGGCTGGAGGCCCGCCCCTCCCCGCCTGCTCTGGCTGAGGTCGTGGCTCGTTGTGTGGTCCCGTCCCACGTTGACAACCTTGCACTCTGGATCCAGGAAAGGAAAGGTTAGGGCCGAACCTGGTGGCCCAGGGTCTGCGGACCAGCAGACCTCCGGGATGCTGTGTTCCAGGAGACCCCACGCACCCCACGCCTTCTATGTCTCGCTGCTCAAAGGCTGACTGCAGGATTCGGGTGCAGTGATCCCTCAGCGGGGGGCGAGGGGGGGGACAGAGCGCGCCCCCCAATGCCCGGAGCAGCCAAGGACCGAGGTCTCCAGCTCGCCTGCGCAGGCGACCTCAGAGGGAGGGCGCCCCAGCCTCCCTGTGCGCCCCTCAGCTTCCCAAAGGTGCCCTGGCTCTGTGCAGGACTTAGCCCAGGACACCAGGGAACCCCAGGGTCACCAGCGCCACCTGGGAACCCCCTATGGGTGTTACGAATATCGCTGTAATGAGGAGCCCTTAGGGTGCAAGAAACCTGGGGTCCGAACACTCCTCCTGGCCCTGAGAAAATTCTGGAGTCTCAAGGTGTTCTGCACCCTGGTGCGGGGCAAGATAGGTTGGCACGCATGCGCAAATCCGAGCTCAGCTCTGCCTCTTCTCGCAGCTGGGGTGATACCAGGACCTGGGCACTGCCAGCCCCGCCTGCACCCACCATCGGGGAACAGACAGACTAGCTCTCTGAGCCTTACGCAGTCCTCAAGGTGGAGGCATTTCCCTCCGGTGGGGTCTCCTGAGACCACTCAAAGTGAGTGTCCCGGAGGGGCACAGGCTCCCACCTGCTTTTTGTATTTATTTATTTCTGTTTTCTTGAGACAGGGTCTCATTGTGTAGTGCAGGCTGGTTCTGAACCCATCATAGCCCAAGCTGGCCTCAAGTATGTGGTAACTCTCCTGCCTTGGCCTCCCCAGGAGCTGGGATTACAGATAGGTGCCACCATACCTGCCTTGTTTGTTTTTTGTTTTGTCTTTTTGAGACTGTGTCGTGGGCTCACTTTGTAGCACAGGATGGTTGCAAATTTGCAAAGATCCTTCTGCCTCAATCTCCCGACTGCTGGGATTACAGGAGTATGCCACCACCCTCTGCTGCTTTTTATTTTCTTGAGATAGGATTTCACTATGTTGCCCAGGCTGGCCCAGAACTCCTGGGCTCAGGTAGTCCTCCTGCCTCAGCATCCCAAGTAAGGGGGATCACATGTAAGAGCAGTGGGCAGTCTCATCAGAGAACACATGGGCCCGGAGCTGAAGGGAGAGAGGGGAGATGCTTGCTCCTGAGAATTTCCTTCTCTGAGCTCAGTAGGAAAATGTAGAAAACAAAGAGAAACAGGAGAGACCTGGAGAACTCAGGCTGAGGGGTGGGGGTGGGGTATAAAGAGACCTGGTCACCGTGACAACCGTGGCTCCAGTGCCATTCAAGGCCCCTGTGGTCACCTTTCACCTTCCCACTATTGGAGAGAAGTCCTGACCCCTCACCCTGGGCCATAAAAGCACCTACATCCCCAACCTGGGCCTGGCCTTCCAGCCCCTCAAGGCCTCTGTCCACACAACTGCAGACGGGCTGGGCTCTTTCCTTCAGTCACCAGGGAGCTCTAGTGGTGGGGTTCAAACCTTTTGCACCCTCCCCACCTGGTCCAGTGCCTGGTGCTTGGATAGGATGTGCCACTGTCGGACTGAGTTGCATTGAGGGGAGTGCAGGGAGAAGTGTACTTGGGTGCAAGTCTAACCCTTGGAAGGCTGACGCAGGAGGCTGCCAATTTGAGCTGCATAGGAACACTTACTTGGACTCCATAGTCAGACCCTGGGGTTCCTTTCTTCCCTCGAACAGAGGTGCAAATGTTTCAGCACTGCCTCTCCAGACCCTCCGGGCCCTACCTGGCAGGCCTGCGCCCTCTTCAGGGGGCTGGGGCAGAGCCCCTCCTGGGCTCTGGAAGTCCCTCCCTTTCTCCAGCTGATTTTAGCTCAGTTTGTATTTGAGGACAATGGAAACCTTAGGTTACACCTAGGGCCAGAGGCCATGACCAGTTAGTTCTGCTTCTGCTCATCTGGGGCAGAACTCAGCTGCCCAGGAAGGAAGCAGATGAGGGGACCAGGTGGGAGGGGTCATGAGGGGTGACAGCTGTTGAAATCCTCACGAGTTGACAGCCACCAGCTGCCAACTTGCTGACTGAGCAGCCAGGGGTCGGCTGCAGGACTTGTGGTTACCAGGAAACAAGACTCCTGCTCCAGTGTCTCTGCCCAGACATAAATGCCCTTGCCTACAAGTTCCGGGCAAATAGAGTTGCAGGCAGAAGGTGAGAGGGAATGAGGCTGAGACCTCTGCAGATACCTGCCTCCTCCTCCCTATTGCCCCCTCCACAAAACCTGGTCCGAGGTAGGGGAAGGAGCTCTGGCCTTGGCATGGGCCCCACAGGCCCTGCAATGCACATGCGACTTTAGGGGCTTGCTGTGTAATTGTGTGGCTGTGTAGCTGTAGACTGAGCTCAACCTCTCCAAGCTTTCTCTGTAAATCATAGCTAATAAAATAATCCTTAGCCTTGATTCAAAATGCCAGCTCCCTCTGCAGAGCTCCAGACCAAGCACTGTGCTTGTTTTTTGTTTTTGTTTGTTTGTTGAGACAGAGTGGCTGGCTTTGAACTCACAGTCATACTCCTGCCTCAGCCACCTGAGCACAGGAATTACAGGTAGGAACCACCACGGTGTGCAGCTTAAAAAAAAAAGCACCCAATTTAAAAAAGAAAAACAAACAAGAAATAGGGTCTTATAAAAAATGGGACCTCGGGGGCTAGGGATTTAGCTCAGCAGCGTAAGCGCCTGCCTTGCAAACAGGCAATCGTGTTTGATCCCCGGTACCGATAAAAAGGGGAAAAAAAAGACAAAAAAAAAAAAAAAAATGGGGCCTTGCTATGAAGCTCAGATTGTCTTTGAACTCACTATGGAGCTCAGGCTGGCCTCAAACTTGTGATCCTCCTGCCTCAGCCTCCCGAGTGCTGGGAATACAGGCTGTGTTGAGCCACCTTAACTGGCGTCTTCTCAATTCCCATGACAAAACCCTAAGTCTCAAGTATGATTCAAGGTCCACCACGACCTGCTCCTGCCAACGGCCTGCACCCTGCCAGCACCACCTTCCATGATTCCTCTGATCACCCGCCCAGTATACCCTGCACTGCTATCTCAAGCCTTGGAGAGAAACTTGCCTCATCCAGGAAGCCTCCCCAGGACCAGGAAGTGACCTCTTCTGGCTTCCCACTCCGGACAGCTCAGTGGGTCACTCTGAAATCCTCTCTAGCCACCACACTCACTCAGACCTGGCACGTAGACGTGCCTAAGAAATATCCACTCAGGGAATAAACCCAGGGGTGACCATGGATTCCACAGAGAGGGGCTGGAAGAGAGAGCAGGGCTCTCACCTTGGTCTTCAGCTCCCCAGGGAGCTTCAGTCAGCCACCTCCCCTCCCCCCCTGCCCTGCTCCTCTTGGTTCTCTGTCGTAATTTCTGAGACAGGATCTCCCCTATGGAGTTCAGGCTGGGATGACCTTCCTGCCTCAGCCTCCAAAGTGCTGGCATCACAAGTGTGCAGCACCATACCCTCTGATCCAATTCCTTGTCTGCAGGTTTCAAAGGTCTCCTTCCTCACTCAGTCTCTCTCCCTCCCTCTCTGTGGGAGCACTTAAGCAGAAGACCCAGGCACAAGAGTCCTCTCAGAATTAGGTGGTCAAGAAAGCCTGGGGGCTGGGAATATAGCTCAGCAGCATAGACGCCTGCCTGGCCAGGGCAAGGTCTTCAGTTTGATTCCCAGTACCCCTCCCCCCAAAATAGAAAGAAAAGAAAGAAAGAGTGGGTGTGCTCCATGGGGCTGCATGCGAGTCCACATCCGGCCAGGTGGCCATGGTGATCGTGCCAGCCACCTGCTAACTTTCTTCTCACATCTTTCATGACAGACCCACATGGTCCCCGAGTTTCTCTGCCCTGCCCCCACCCCGTGCTGGTTCTCACGCTGGGCAGCAGCACCCAAAGGTGGTGAAACCTGAAGAGCAGTTAGTGCTCGAGACCTTGCACCCCTGGCCCCGGCGGCACCCATCCTGCACCAGCCTGGGTCCCCAGCTCCGAGTGACCCTGGGAAGGTTTGGGATGGCACCAGGTGCCACTCCAGGTGCTGTGGAGTCAGCAGCCCTGGCACCCCTTCTTCCTGCAGCTCCTCTCGGCTCCCACAGATGGTGGGCAGCTCCCTGGGCAGAGGCTGCTGGGCTGACGACCGTGCGTCAGGGAACAAAGACGCAGGCTCGTGAGGTGGCCACAAAGGACAGGACGAGAGGTTTTATATGTGGCAAAATAGTTCCGGTGGAAGAGTACAGACAAAAAGACAGACAGAGGAGGCACAGGACACCAGGTGGAGCTGGGTGGGGGCCGGGCAGTGGAGTCTTCTAACCAGGAAGCGGACTGCACCCCGCCCTGAGGGGGTGGGGCGGCATTGGCACAGGAGGTGGCGAGACAGGCACAGGCGCCCATCCCTGAGGCAGGCAGCCGGGCAGGGCCCAGTCCTTGTTGGCACAATCGGCTCTCTCTGACCCAGCTGGGGTGCTGAGCAGGGGCAGGGTTGCTGGCCTCTGGGGACGCTGAGGCCAAGGTTACCCCAGGGGTGAGGGGCCACCGAGACCTCCCCTGGGGAAAGTGGGCACAGGAAAGGACAGGAGTACAAGGGGCAAATACAGAGAAGCAGCAGCAGCAGCAGCCAAGCTCCCCAGGAGACCCAAGGGCCCCAGACAACCCCAGGATGGGGTCCTCTCAGGCGGGCACCAAGCCACCCCTGGGGCCTCAGGACAAAGGTGGAGGACCCACTTTTTGGTTTAGAACGAGGTCCCCACACCCAGGTGGCACGGAAACGGGGGCTCAGATGCAGAGGGCCCCCCTGGTCAGATAGCAGCAGGCGGGAGGATGGGGCAAAGCTCATTCCTGGGTGGGCGAGGCAGAGGTTTGGGGGCATTTCTGGTGGTTCTATTCAGCTGCCAGCCTGGCACCGCCCCCAGCCAGGGAGGGCAGGGGCAGCATCTGAGGCTGCCAGAACCCCTCGCTAAACCTCCCAAGCTGTAGCTTTCAAGCACAAGACAATGCTGTGGGGAAGCGAGGCTGGGGTCTGAGGGTGGTTCTGTGGGCCACCCCATTTGGGACCTTTGCCCCAAAGAAGAAGAGTTAGAAGTGCACCTTTTCTCAGGGGGATAGGGAAAAGGGGGACACTTCAAAAGTGGAGGGTATCCCCATTTGTCCTCAGCAGGTAAGGAAACCCCACTGCTGGGGCTTGAGGGGCGCCCAGGAACCAGGCAGGTACCCCCAAAAAACTCCAACACCAAGGAAAGGCATCTGAAAGAGGGTGACCCCGGAGATGAGGCCCAACCACAGTGAGCCCCCATCCCTCCCTCGTGCCCCCCTCAGCGGATGTAGACACCCCGGCCCCAGCCCTCCAGCTCATTCTTGTTGCGCCCCAGCACCGGGCCCCCGCGCTCCGCACAGTAGCGGGCCTTGTTCCGGGCTCGGCCCCTATTGTCAGGCAGGTCCTCCCCGTAGTCCTCGTCCTCTTCCTCCTCCTCCCAGGAGCCCTGGTGCACCGGTGGGGTGCCATCCCCCGCGGGGTCCCCAGGCCCTGGGCCCTCGGAGGGGTCCGTCTCCATGTCCACGCACGAGTCTCCCGGCTCCATGTAGGCCGAGTTTCGGCTGGCTGGGGTCTCAGCGTCAAAGGTGTCTTGGCGGGACAGTGCCCGAACGGTGCCCACCCTGCCTGGGGGGTGGTGGCCCGGGGGCTGGCCCGGTTCCCCTGGGTACTCTCGCACACTGGCGTGCTCCCCGGTGGCCCGCTCCAGCGGCTGGTCCCCAGAAGCAAGGTAGGGTCCCTGGTTAGCAGACGGACGGACGAACGGACGGACAGCAGACGCCATGCAGAGGAGGCAGGGGTGAGAAAAACACAACAAAGCAAGGCAGGTTAGTGACTGCGCCACAACCCCAGGCACCATGACCCCTCGTCCATCTGTCCATCAATCTGTCCATCCATCCCGCAGGAGGAGGAAGAATGAGGGGCCCTCTGGACTGGCACTGGGGGGAGGGCTCCAGAGCCCAGCTGGAAGCCAGGCCTCAGGGAATCTGCTCTCCTCTTAGGGTTGGGGGTGCCCCACACAGACGTCAGAGCCCTCTGGTAACTGTAGCAGGGAGCCCTGCAGGATTAGTGACCACTTCCTCAGTGGGTTAAGTGGGGACTGCCTTGGGGTTACTGCAACCAATCCAACTCTTAGTGGCTGATGATGTTAGTCAAGGACTCCAGTTCTCTAAGTACATTAACAAACAGCAGCTCAATGCCCCAAACCCAAGCTTGTGTGTGTCCACAGGAGCCCCAGGATTGTGGAGGCCCCCTCTCAAGGCTACACGGGGCAGTGGGGTTCCTCCTCTGTCCCCCCAGGCCTTGGTCTGGCCGTGTCCTGATCACTAAATGCCACATGAAAGTGAGCTTCCACCATACAGGATGCCAGGTGGGGTGCCAAGAGGCCTCTATTCTGGTCTTGCCTCCACCACCTCAGGCTGTGTGGCCCTGAGCCAACACAACCCGGGTTCTCAGTTGTAACATGATGCAGTGGTTTTTGAACTGTTTCCTAGAGATCAAAAACAGATCTGGGGTCCTCAGGAGATGAAGGGTAGACTGGGCCCCAGCTCTCTCCCAGTATAGGGGTGCCTTGGCCAAAGCTTCACAGCACAAGTGCTGCTGAAAACAGTTTAAAAGCAACAATCCTCTATGCCTTAATGGATTTCTGCCGTCCCTAACTATATATCTAATGGTGCGGTCACTGGGATGGGCAGTGGTTTTCCCCAGGGAAGAGGGCGAGGCCCTCCAGCAAAGCCTTTCCTGGATCTTGTGGGGAAGAATGAAGGCAGGCTGGCGGTGCCTCATAGAGGCTCCTTGCTGGATAGTGCAGGGGCCTCTAGAGGACCCAAGCAGGGAAGAGGCAGCCTTTTCACCGGATGTCCCTGCTGTCTGGTTCTGGGGTCTGAGTGTCCCTGCTCTGTGGAGTCCAGTGGAGAAGTGGTCCTCACGTTTTATTTTCTTTCCAGTCTCTGTTCTTATGAGTGACCTGGTCAGGCCTCGCAGGCCACAGGAGTCCTACAGCCCCAGGCCCACGGAGGCAGCATCAGCGGGTCCCAGTCCCACCAAAAACCACAGACACCGAAGATGCCGCGCACCACGTTTTTTACAAAATCAAGCTCTTTCCTTCTCTCACGTTCCTGCTCTCCAGGGCGGAGGGGACACAGCGGGACACTGCTACATGGCGTGCTCCTGCTGCTGGGGCACCGTGCTGCCCCGCTGCGAGGCCTCCAGCCCGCCCCAGAAGCTGAGGTTCCTCCTGAGCGAGGTGAGCACCTGTACCTGGAGGTTGGAGACAGGGGCGGGACTGGCAGCCAGGGCTGCTGTAGCCATGGTGCGGTTCAGCAGCGGATTGGGCGGCGTGCTGCTGGGCGGGTGCGTGGCCTTCCAATAGGCTTCCAAGTACTCAGCTAGGTGCTCGCAGGCGTCTTCCAATTGGTTCTCGTCCAGGATGATGTCAAACATTTCCTGTGGAGGTGGGGTAAGGGGCGGGGCTGGGATGAGTGAGGGGGCGTGACCAGGGCTGAAGGTGTGGCCTGGGCATAGTGGGTGGAGCCAAGGGGTTAAAGGACAAGGTTATCAAGTGACCTCCTCATGTGGAGGAAGCAAAGGAGATCACTCAGAGCTGTCAACTAGCAACACTGTAAGGGGTCTGAGAGTCCAGCCTCAGCCCATCTTCCTCCTAGACATAAGGCAACCCAGCCAGGCAGCGGGCCTTTGCTCCACACTGATTAGTGGTGCCCGGGGCCCGCTCTGTCTGGCGCGCCCTCTTTCCCCAAAGCCCAGTCTTCGCTAGCAGACCTGGTCCAGGGATCCCTGGTCACTCTGTCACGTGCTCAGACCAGAGGCAGCCAGGAGACACCAGATGCCCTTCCCCCAAAGACCCCAGCCTTGGACACTCACCGGAGGACACTGGGCCAGCTTCTCCGAGGCAGCTATCTGGACATTGAGGTGTTTAGATTGAGACTTCCCCCGGGATTTGATGAGTCTCTGGAGGACCTGGTGTAGGGAGAAGAAGCTGGGCTGGGGGACCCAGGCAGTGCACCTGGGCAGAAAGGCAGGTTTGGGTTCACTCTCCAGGGTTGCCCTGCCCCAAACTCAGGCTAACAACCACAGTCCCCTTTGACGGGCACCTGCCAGGTGCCAGTGCTCTTCTGGGCTTTTTTGGGGGGGCTGAGGTCTCACTGTGTTACCCAGACTGGCCCCAAACAGGTGCCGAGCTGCAGCAATCCTCCTGCTTCAGCATCAGGTGCTGGGACTGCAAGTGTGTCCCAACCTCTTCTGTAACTGATAGCCCAGTTAGATCACTATTATTACTGCCATCCTACTAACAATATAATAATAATAATAATAATAATAATAATAATAATATCCCAAACCTAAAGCTAGTTATAAAACATCAGGCAAACCCAAGCAGAGGGACAGCCTGGAATAGCTGGCCAAGCTGGGTGTGGTGATGGTGTACACCTATAATCCCAGGACTCAGGAGACTGAGCAGGAGGATCCTGCCTGTGCCTGAACTACATAGCAAGACCTTGTCTCACAAACAAACAAACAAAATCTGATCTGCACTCCTCTAAAATATCCATGTTGTGAAAATCCAGCTGAAGAACAGTTCCACACGAAAGAAAACGGAGCTATAACAACTGATGGAATATGAGAGCCCCTGGGTTGATTCCTGAATTAGGGCAAGTATCATAGTGGCATTTTTTCCTTTTCCTTAAAATTTTTAAAAGTTTTTTTATTGGTACCAAAGATTAAATTCACACCCTTGCACTTGACAGGCAGGTGCTATCCTAAACTAAATCCCTGGCTAAAACCACTAGGTTTTTTTTACTATTAATTGTTTGCTTTTTTGTATTGGGGACTGAACCAAGGGAATACTGAGTTACATCGCCAGCCCCTTTTTTTTTTAAATGCATTTTATTTTGAGATAGGGCACTGCTAAATTTCCCGGGCTAGACTAGAACTTGTGATACTCCTGCCTCAGCCTCTTGAGTGGCTGGGATCACACGTGCTCATCACGGTATCTGGCTCAGAAGGGGCACTACGAGGGCTGGGGATTTAGCTCAGCGGCATAAGCGCCTGCCTCGCAAGCAGCCAGTCGTGAGTTCGATCCCCGGTACCAATAAAAACGAAAAAAAGACCAAAAAAGGAGGGGCACTACGGGATCAATCAGTGAGAGGTGAATATGAATTGCATTTTTCGAGTGTGTGTGTGGCACTGGGTATGGAAGCCAGGACCTTGCACATGCTAAGGAAGAAATATGGACTTTTAAAAAATAGAACCAATTCAGTGCTTAGTGGGTACCAAGCAATTTGTGTGACTGATCTGTTTATTTGATGCTCACAGCTTTCACCTGGGCATGCCTCTGCTGCAGATGAAGAAACTAGGGCACAGAGGCACTTGGCATTTGACTTGTGGAAGGAACACAGTGCTGGTAAATGACAGCACTGGACAGGACACCCAGCCGTCTGGCTCCAGCGTTCTGGCCCTTAACCTCAGGGAGGGAGCGGCTGTTACTTCTAGGTCAGGAAGGGTTTCCACATCCATTATCTCCTTTGATCCTTCCAACCTCCCCACCTCTGAGCACTTAAATCTCACCAGACTTTCACCTCTTTGGAAAGGGAGGACTCTGAGACGTCAAGGAACTGGCCCAGGGCGCACAGCTCCCACGGTGCTGCCAGGAAATGGTGACAGCTCCTACTGCTGGGTGGCATCTTAATCAACTGGGATCCTGGGTGCTCCAGGTCATTCCCCTCAACCTCTCAAAAAGTGACAGGAGAGAGGTGGGTGTGGTGGTGCATGCCTGTAATCCCAGCTCTTGGGAGGCTGAGGCAGGAGGATTCATCAAGAGTTTGGGGCCAGCCTGGGCTACATAGCAAGACAAGAAAAAAAAAAAAAAAAGAGGCTGGGGGTGTAACTCAGTGGTAGAGCACATGCTTCGTATGCATGAAACCCTGAGTTCCATCCTCAGCACCAAAAATAATAAAAACAATAATAACACTAGAGGGATTATACTCCCATTCTGTAGAACAAATTGAGATTCAGACTGTAAATTAATTCCCCCCAATCCTGAAATCAAGAGCAACAACCCTCGGACAATGGTAAATAAATATGTAAGCCAGACAGGGCAGGAATGTGAGGTCTACCCTGTCTCCCTTCTCCTCAATGCTTCCTTTCTGTTTCCCAAATCTCCACTAATACCTGGAGCCCACACTGTGACAAGCATGCAGATCAGTCTTCCTGCCCATACCCCTTCTAGCAAGGTGCCAGTAAGGCTGGGCACAGTGCCACAGGTCCTGTTCTACTCAGGAGGCTGAGGCCGGGGGAATCACAAGATCAAGGCCAGCCTGGACAACTTGACAACACCCTGACTCAAAAGAAAACAACTGTTTAAAGGACTGGGGATATTCCTGAGTGCTAGAGCGTTGTCCAGCATGCATGAAGCCCTGGGTTCAATTTCCACACCAAGGAACTAATAACCCAACAGAGTTCAAGTGAGATAATACGGCAAAACAAGGGCTGACACAGAAGACTGAAAAGACCTCCCAACTACCACGAAGCTGGGTGACACCAGAACAAAAAGCACAGACTTCTTAGCAGGGTATAGTGGTGAGGTTTGTGGTCCCGGCACTTAGCAGACTGAAGCAGGAGGCTCACTGCAAGTTCGAGGCCAGCCTGGGCTACAAAGTGAGTTCAAGACCACCCTGAACTACCTAGTGAGACCCTGTCTTAGAAACACACAAAGGAAACAGAATTCTTGCCTTATATGATCCAGCAATAGAAGGACAGCCACAGTGCCTACAGGGGACGGGCTTCGATGACTCTAATAATAATATAACTAAGCCAGGCATGGTGGTACAAGACTGTACTCCCAGTACATGGGAGGCTGAGGCAGAAGGATCACCCCAACCCTGCGGTCAACTTGGTCTCTACATCAAGACGCTCTCTCAAAAAACAAAACAACAATAACTAACACACAGTAAAGTCCATGGCAGCAGGCCTCCCCCTAAGTGTTACGGCTTCCTATCAGGTCACGCTTTCAAATTCACAATACTCACGAGATAGGGTTGTTCGGGGAAGGAAACTGGGGACAGGAAGTTGCCCTGTCAGTGAGCGGCGGGGGACACTGAGGCAGCCCTCCCTCAGAGCACTTGCCAGCTGCGCTGCTGGCCGGCACCTACACCCACCTTGGGAGAGGTGATCTTGATGTAAACTATGATGGGCGCCAGCGAGGTCTTGGAGAGCTGGGCCGGGTGGTTGATGGTATCAGCGTCCAGGGCAACCAGCTGCAGGGTCCGGGCCAGCTCAAAGATCCGCTCGATCTCGCTCTGCACTTCGGCTGGGGGTGCGGAGCCATGGGGAGGGGAGAGTGAGGCACTGGGCACAGGGGGCGTGCCGCCCTCGACCACCCTGGTGCAGAAGTGGGCACAGGCTCACCCAGGCTGGAGCGCGTGTTGGAGCGCTCAATGATCACATGCTTGCTGGGGTTGTTGAGGACAGAGCGCTTGGCAAGGGAGATGTCGGCCGTCACCCGGGTGATGGAGATCCTGGAGACCGCATGGAGCAGTCAGGGCCATGGTGGGCCAGGACACCACCAAGAGCCCCAAGATGGTCCTTGCCCTGCCCAGAGCTATTGCCCGGGGCTGTGGCCTCCGGGGGAGGGGTGTGTCTCACCTGCCATCAAACCGGTGCTTCAAGAAGTCGAACAGAGCTTTCTGCATCATGTCTGTGACCTGCAGTGGGGTTGGCAGGGCCAACAGGACAGTCAGGCATTTTTGAGTGGCCCAACAGGCTGGACTGCTGACATCTGACCTTTTCTTGTCACTCTCCTTTGAGATCCCTGGGACGAGGGCCCTGGGGATGGGGAGGGCCCTCCTAGTCTGGGGTCTTTAAGGCAGCATCTGGTTCCCAGAGTCATCTGGGTGAGATCTCTGCAAGGCCTCTCTAGAGATTTCTTTGGGGGACTGGGCCCTTCCAAGTGGGGCCCCATGGGTGGCACCGCTCTGGGAATTTCCCTGAACCTCTGGGGTCTGGGCCTCTCTGAGGATGCCCCTGCAGCCTGGACTCTTCCCTTGGTCCCTGGAGCCCAGGCCCTTCAGCCCCTTCCCAGCAAAGCTCCTACCTCATAGCCCTTGAGCGATGGTCCCACCAGGATGATGGGCCTCATGGAAGGCACCACGTCGTAGGGGGGCACATGCTCTGTCTGGGGGAAGCAGGGTAGGAAGACCCCAGAGTGGGGGTGCCATCAGCCCCTTCCCAGCCTCCCCAAGCATCTTCCTGCCCCCTGGTTCTGGAGCCCAGAGGTGAGGATTGGGGGAGGGTGGGGGGAGGTGGCCAGGAAAGGTGGGGCATGGGTGTTAGAAGGTCCCCAGCTCATCCCAGGGGCAGGGAGGGGACACAGAAAGCTGTGACACTCACCGACTTCTGCTTCTGTTTGGCTGGGTCCCGAGATTGCCAGGAGAGGGGAGGGGAAGAGAGGGAAGGGGAGGGCACCCAGGCAGGGCAGAGGGCACAGAAGAGCCGGGCCAAGAGGGAGGGAGTGGGCAGACGAGAGAGATAACAGGGCATGCGTGTTAGTGACAGACAGAGCAGAGAGGGGCTGGGACCCCATGCCAAGGGCAGCCAGCGATGGCCCTGGGTCAGGGCTGGGTGCAGGACTGACTGGTGGCAGTCAGGGGACTTGGGAAAAGGCCCTCTCCGGATCTTGGAAAAGAGGTGGAGAAAGTGGTGGCCCTTTCTTTGGTGCCCACCTTCTGCCCAGTTCACATTAACCTGTCCTCTCTCAAAGGCTCCCTTGACTGTCTGGCCCCAGGCCACTCATGTGCCCACCCACGGAGCCAGGGAGGGTGAGAGGTACCCTTCCTCCCAGCTTCTCTCCCAGAGGAGGCACACGGCACCTGCCCTTCCACTGGGAGCCAGGGCAAACGTCAGGCTGCTTTGGCATGACCTGCATGGGGGCACCCTTCCAAAGGCAGGAAGCAGCCCTGTCCCCTCCCTCCCTCGCCTCTGGCTGCCTGCAGGAAAGGCTGGGACCCCAGGGGGACCGCTCCAGCCTGGCGCCCCACCACAGCTGCGCCCAGACCCCCACTACAGGAATTACCTTCTTAAAGAAGGGGATGCGCTTGCCGTGGGGCGGTGGGGTGGTGACACTGCTAACGCTAGTCTTGGCAGAGCCGCTCTGCTCCCCCAGCTCTGCCTCTTCCTCCTCTAACTCTAGGGGGTCTAGTTCAAAGGCTAAGTTAGTCATCTCATTACCTGGACCAAGCAGGAGCCGGGGAAGAGGATGGGGAAGGAGGATGAGATGGACGGAGAGACGAAGAACAGAACACGGGGCAGGGGTGGGGGAAGAGAGAGAGAAGAGGTGAATGGAACGGGCTGGAGAAATGAAGGGGGCAGGTGGGGCGGGCAGAGATGGAGCTACTGCAGAGAGGGGACAGGACAGACATGACAGGCCCAGTGAGGGGGGACTCTAGCCTTCTCCGCTGCATTTGAGGGGATCAGAATCGGGGCCTCCCACTGCAGGAGATGGGGCACAGGCAGTGGGGGCACCACCCCATCCCCACCTCGCCCCAAGCCCAGGGTGGGCAGCAGCTCTTACCACTGGCAGGGGGTGTGGGGCGGCGGGTGCCAGTCACCACATCTCCCAGGCTGGAACTCGAGTTGTCACCTGATTTGCTGTGTGGGCAGAGAGGCAAATGGAGCCGGTGAGGATGGGTGGCACCGCAGGCCTGGGGGCGGCCTGTCCTCCCACACACCGCACCCGCACCCCACCCCAGGGCACTCGTCCTCTGAGCCAGGGGTCTGCGCACCTGGAGCTGAGGCGATTCTGGCGCAGCTTCTGCTCCTGCAGCAGTCGCAGGCTGTCCAGCTTCACGGGGCTGGGGATGAAGCCCACCTCACAGCCCTCCTTCACCAGCCGCCCTATCCACCAGTCATTACTGTATTTCTGCAGGGATGGCGGGAGGGCAGGAGCCACTGAGGCGGGGAAGCCCCATACCCCCTGCACAGCTAGCGGGCCTCCCTCAGATAGGCCAGGATCTTCCCTCTTCCCTGGCGGCCACCCCCGGAACCAGGCAGTGGGGAGAATGTGGACACCTGAGTGTGCTTGGCACAGTCGCCCCAGTCACCGCTGCCCATTCACCCACAATAAGTCCCCTCTTGCAGCCACCCTGTCCAGGTGTCCAGCTGTCCCACCTCCTTGATGTGCAGGAAGTCCTTGGGCTCGAAGGTGATGGCCACGCCCTGCACAGGCACCTCATCCCCCGGAGATGGATTGTAACCCACATTTGTCCGCACGGCAAAAGCCACCGGCTTAGTCTAAGGAGACACGTGGGGGAAGACAACAGGGACACCAGGGGATCAGAGCACAGCATGCCTCTCAGCTTCCAGTCGGGGGTGGTCACTCTGCAGTGTTCGGGTGGCAGCCTGCCATCACAGGGCACGTGCAGGGAGCGTGTGGTTTTATGTATGCTAATGTTTACAAAAAAACCCGAACTCTGGCTTTCTCAGCCTTCTTGGCTGGGAATCGTGAGCATCCCAGAGGTGTCCAGAGTGTCCCGAAGTAGGGACAGCCCTAACAGAGGCCCTAGTGGCTTCCTGTGCCAGGCATGACATCACAGGCTTCCTGTGTGTTCCCATTTGCTTATCACACAACGCCTGTTGATCTGTGGGCTCTTACATTTGTCATCTTTCTGTTGTTGTTATTTTTCGGCTTTTTTAAATTGGGTTTTTCTTTTGTTTTGTCATGTCTTTTTGAGCTAGGGTCTCACCCTGCAGTTCAGGCTGGCCTTGAGCTCACTTTGTAGCCCAGACTGATCTCAAACTCACAATGATCCTCCTGCCTCAGCCTCCTGAGTGCTGGGATTCCAGGCATGAGCCACTATGCCTGGCTCTTACTGTATTTTTTAAAACTTGTTTTCATGGATTTATTTGATTCATGGTCTAGGTACTGGATCCAGAGAGCACTGAGCTGTATCACCTCTCTTCACTTTGAGACTGGTTGCCCAGGCTGGCCTCAGATTTGCAATCCTCCTGCTTCAGCCTCCCCAAATAGCTAGGATTACAAGTCAGCACCACTGCACTTGGCTTTTTAAACATTTTCATTTAAAATTCCATCCCCAGAAAATAAATCCCAGAATTTCCTCTCCTGTGTGTTTTCATCTTGCTTCTCTGTGGCCCATGATGCCAGCTGCCAGCTGAGGTTGTCAGTACTACAAAATCAGCTGTGTCTCTCTCTCTCTTTTTCATTCATTTTTTTTGAAACACGGTTTCACTTGGTAGTTCAGGCTGGCCTAGAAATCCCAGCAATTCTCCTGCCTCAGCCTCCTGAGTGCTGGGATTACAGGGTGTACCTCACCATGCCTGGCTACATTTGTTATTGTTATTTTATTTTATTTTTTTGTTTTTAAGACAGTATCAAAAGAACAGAAGAGAGAGAAACAGACAGACAGATAGACAGAATCTCACTGCGTTGCCCCAGCTGGCCTCAAATTCCTATGCTCAAACAATCCTCCTGCCTCAGCCTCTCAATTAGCTGGAATTGCAGCCACATACCACCAAGACAGCTGTCTACACATATCAAATATGGCCACTCTACATTTTTTTCTTTTTATCCGTACCAGGGATCGAACTCACGACCGCCTGCTTGCAAAGCAGGTGCTTATGCAGCTGAGCTAAATCTCTAGCCCCAGCCACTCTACATTTGCAGAAACCACCTGTGGGGTCCAAAACCATTTCCACCTCTATGATCATCAGTGATTTCAAATTTGCTAAGGAGACCATATTTCAGCACTGTGGTCAGAAGGCAGACGGTGCCCATGACCTGGTAATGACCTGTCCATGACCCCTTTCTTCACCACTGTCAGGCTCCCCAGCAAGACTTCAGCTGTCCCATTATGGTGGCACGGAAACATGGCCGGAAGAGCTACCCTCCTTTTAATGAGTAAGACATGTCAGTTCAGAGAAGTGTGGTGACTTGCCTAACAGCACACAGCTATGCTGAGTCAGGACTGGGGTTCCAGCCTCAAGAATCTGGTTCCGGGAGGAATTGGCCATCTTTTGGTTTTCCAGGCTCCTGGGATGTGTGTGGACAGTGAGCCCCTTCCCCTGCTGCCCAGGGGAGCAGGCTTTCCCAACCACAACTCACAGCAGCAGGACACAGGCACCCCGCAGTCTGAGGGCCCCAATGGACACCCACCCTGGCCCATCCAGGTGTCCCCCACCTTGCTCACCTTGGCTTTCTCGAGCTGGGCCAGCGCCTGGCGCTCTGCCTCTTTCCTTAAGGCTTCTCGGTCCTCCTCCAGAGATACGTCAGAGTCCGACGGACGGCTTGTGTAGGACTCCGCGGAACCCTGAAAGCAGACAGCACTGACTCAGAGCTGAGTTCACTGCCCCCTGCTCCTGGGTGTCACCTGCCTTGGTGCCCCAGGCAGCCCAGCATGTGGCCACAGGCCTAGCAGAAGGTGCCATGTTGCACAAGGGTCCAGGGACCATGGTTTTGTAGGTCCGTGGGACAAGGGTGGCCCTCCGACGGTAACAGCAGCAATCTGGGGGTTAAGGCAGGTCTAGGGACAGCTGCTCGGGGCCCTGGGAGGGGTGGGAACCTGATAGGGCACAGCACAGGGGAGGAGTGCCAGGGGCCGCATCTCGCGCCCTGCTCCTCCGTCCCTGCCCTGCCCCCAGTGTCGCAGGGAAGAGCCCGGAGGCCAGGGGAGTTCCTCTTGGGGATCGTGGCCACATGCCAAAGCCTGACTCTCCACACTGGGACTGAGCCAGCAGGTGGGAAGAAAGACCCCTACCTCCCCGCCCCTCTGGCCAGTTCCACCAGTTAGGCCACCCTACTCAGAGCCAACCGTGGGGCTGGCATAAGGCCCCAAAAGAACCAAGAATCTCAGAGTGGCATGGGCGGGAGAGGCAGGTTGGCAGTGGAACACTGAGGCCTCCCAATGCTGGGCTGCTAGGCCTGGTATGAAGGCCGCTCAGAAGCCTCGGGGTGCCAAGATGCTGGGCTCCACCACCTGAGCCAACTTGAGCACAGGGGCTCCGTTAGGATCCACACATATGGGTACGACTCACAGAGCCCAGCCTCACAGAGCCCAGGAGGCTCACAGAGCCCAGGTCACCAACACAGCAACTCCCCTGTCGGGAAGGGGTGCTCTGTGGTCTCTGCGAGCTGTGCACAACCACAGGAGTCTGTATCCCTGAGGGTAGGAAGCTCAAGAGTGCAGGGGACAGGGGCACACACTTGTGTGTGACTTCCAAGGAGGAGGTGGCAGTGGTGGTGGTGGCACAGGACAGGGGCAGTGTGGGGAAGGAGTGGGACATCAGAGATGTGGGACCTTTCTTCAGGGCACAGGAGGGTCACCTGGCTGGGAATGTCCACTGCTTGCTATGGAGGGGACCCAGGAAAGGACATGACAGAGTCTCCCCTCTTCCTGGCAGCCTCTGGTCATGAGCTGATACACAGGCCCTGTCCTTTCCCAGCCAGACTGGAAAGGTGTGAGGGTGGCAGGGGAAGGGGTAGCCAGGGTGCCTAGCAGAAGCCAGAAAGATGCACAGTGACGAGGAAAAGCAGCCTGGTCCCCACTGTCATTCTCCAGCCAGATGTGTCCAATCTGGGGACAGATACCCTGAGAGGCTGGACACAGACAGAAACTTCAGGGCAAAGAGGGGTTCATGGACTCCCACACCTGCATGCATGTGTACAGGTGCACATGTGCGCACACACACACATACATGCTACACACACTACATACATGCTACACACACTATGTACGCACACAGCCCAGCAATGGCGGGGTACAGGAAACAGGAAGAGGCCAGGGGATGAGCTAGCACAAAGTCTCCCCACCAGATTTTTTGAGGGGCTGTGCTTCCCACCCCAGCTTCACTCTGTCCCCACTCACCGCCACGAGGGTCCCACTGGGCGCCTCCATCCCGGCGCCCTCAGAGCCTGGGCCTGCTGGCCTAGGGGGTGGCCCAAACTGCCCGTTCCCCCAGGGGCTCAGGTTACAAGCAGAGTTGCTACATGTGCAAACTGCTCGGGTATATTTAGCTCAGAGACGTGGCAAGGGCAGCCCCCGCACACCCGCCACCCACTGGGGGTCAGAGCTGGGAGCTGAGAGGAAAAAGAACCAGAAGTTGGGGTGTGACCCTGGCTCGGCAAATACTACAGGACCCAAGCCGCAGAGCGAGGGCTCTGCCCAAAGGGGAGAGGAAGGCACGGCCTCCTTCCAAGCCCTGGTGCGGGCCCAGGTCTGCAACAGGGAGATGAGGGAGGGAGGGCGGGAGGGACTTCCACCTGTGTCCTCAGGAGATGTGGGGATGCAGGCCTCCCTTCCTGGAGCTTCCTAGCCAGGCCCAGGCCGAGGGTGCCAGTGAAGAGTCAGAAAACCCAGAAAGAAGGGCCTTGATCCAAACAGCAGAGACTGACCTGGCACTGCCCTCTCTCTTCTGGCCCCTGGGGGGCTCCCCCACCCAATGTCCTCTGTCCTCTGACCTCGTGTGCCCTGTCTCCTTCCCTGTAACACACTTCTTTCCTCCTCTCATCAGATCCCCAGCCCCTCTCGCCTTTTTTGGTTACCAGGCTTTGTTGAGATGCTCTGTAGCCATGGTAACCACATGTCTCTCTCTCTCTCTCTGGCTGCCTCTCCCTGAACCTAAGATGGCCTGGGTTGAGTTAGAAGACACACACGGGAGCCTCAGCTTCAGGGCTGACAGTGGCTGAGCACAGGACACCCAGAAAGCTATGCTGTGATATCTTCCTAACCGAGGGGTGCTGGGCTCCGGTCCCCTGTAAAATATACGCCCCCCCCCAATCCCACCCTCTGTGCACATGACACAGTCACACCTGGAACTGAGGAGTGTGCACACCTGCTCCATGCCTGGCCAGGGCTCTAGGGACCCGAATGTCCCAGCTCCTCATTTTCTAGCACCTGCCTCCACTCCACCCTGTCACAGATTCCGGGGGAGGACATGGAAGCAGACAGCCGGCAGGGGGAGTGGGTGATAACCCGAAGCGAGCTAGAAGGAGGCCGGCCAGGCTGTCCCTGAATGAGATGACGCAGGCAGGCAGGCAGGCAGGCGGCAGGGGCTGGGAGGAGGAGGGGCTCGCAGGGGTGGGGGCTGAGGCAGTGGGCGCAGCTGACAGCACATCCTGGAGAGGTCTCAGGGTGTCAGGGGGTTGGGATGGTTCCAGGCAGGGGACAAATGACATGGGGAAGGGTGCCTGGAGAAAGGCCAGCTCACTGATGCTGGCCTCCACCAACCAGCCACCTCCCGCCTTGAGGCCCAGCCTCCCTTTTACCTGGCGGACGAAGCTGTTGGATGTGGTATCAGAGGATGTGCTCCCATCTGAGCGTTTGAACCGCCCTTTCCTCTTGCTGTATTTGCCCTGGGGATGACAGGAAGGAACCAGAGTAGCATCAGACAGATCCTGTCCCAGCCCTTGTCCCAGCAGGGCTGGGGCCACAGCTGGGCCCTGGGAGCATCAGCCCAGGTCTGCACAGCCCCATCCCCATGGCCTGCATCTCTCTCAAGAGGTGGGGTACAGCCACAGAGAAGGAGGGTCTCCCAGACCTCAGCCTGAGCTGAGGGGGCCACACACAGGAGCCCCCAAACCAAGCCAGAGGCTGGGAAGGGGGAGGCCTGGGAAGCAGGAGACTCCTTAGGCAGCAAAGCTAATTAAGATGCTGGGCAGGCTGCAGAGGCCTCCCGGGAAGGGAGCTGCCTGCAGTGCTGGGCTGAGAAGCCCCAGCCAGGGAAGTTCCCTCCCACTGCTCCTGGACTGAAGATGAGGGGGCTGAGGGGGCCAAGGGGGCCTGGCTTCTCCCCCAGGCCAGCTCCTCATTTTCCAGGTTGGGGAGGGGATGGCGGCTTTGAGGGCTTGGAGACTCAAAGCTAGATTTCAGGGAAGGACAGGGCACTGAACCTGTCTGCAAAGTAAACACTCAACCCCAACTGTGGCCTGCAACCAGGGGGCAGCCTCTTGGGGAGGGGCAGGACTGTACCTCAGCCCCCTCCTCACACTAGCAGAAGCCCTGCCCCTCCCCAAGGGGGTTGGAGGGATCTACTCTTGGCCCCTAGCAGGTGCTGCCTATACCACTCCCACAGTCCCAGCTGCAGCACCAACAATCTAAGGGACCCCAGGCTCTGCTCCACAGGTCCCAGGCTCACTCAGGCTGGCTGCTCCAATCTCTGGTGGGGTGTGCTGCAAGCTACTTGGGCAGCCACATGCCCAGCTGAAGGCTTCAGGTGTCCCAGCTCTCCTGCAGGGAGCTGCCTCTTTGCCCTCCCTACTCTCAGACACACCAGCCTGACCAAGCCAAAATGTTAGGAAGTCAAAGAACTCGGCCCTGTAAGCCCTGGCGCCAGGCTCCATCCACCCCAGACTTTCTCAGGCCACACATCAGAGCAAGCTGCCACCAATGGCACCTCGGCAAAGAGGTGGATGGATGATGGGACAGGAGGGCACTTAGGGACCCTTTCCAGTCCTCTTCTCCCAAAGTGGCTGTACATTCAAGCTAGTTGTGAGGCTCCCTACAAACCTAGCAGGCTCCTGCAGCGAGCCCAGACTCTCCCACCACTGCCATCCCCACCCTGGGCTGGGCAAGGGGAGTGGCGCTTGGAGGGACAGTGGACAGCTGAGAAGAAGGCCCAGGTCAGCTGCTTTCCAGACTCCAAGGGGCCCAGGGTGGAGGCAGGGGGTATTTTTAGGTCTGATCTGACCCCACACACACCCATCAACCACAATACCACGGAGGCCAGTGGCTCCAGACTGGTCACAGCCACACAACAGTTAATGCTACCCTTGAGAAGGACGTGTCTCACAGAAATCCTCTGGTGCCACCACCCTAAAGTGGGCTGCTGGCTCCAGGGCACCACCACAGGGAAGAACGTCCCTATGTTGGGGGGGACAGGGACGTGGAAAGGAGCACAGGAGTGGGTAGGAGTGCTGGAGTTGCTGACCCCTCCCCCAGGTGGACAGCTCCGTGTCCTCCAGGACAGTGACCGGCATCTATCCAACTTTCCAAACTTCAGAGGTGTTTTCAGGGGCCGGGGGAAGGGCACGCCAATCTGGGTGGGGGGAGGGGAGCCGGACCAAGATGGGGATAGGTGGAGGCAGCCTGCACAGGGCCTGGTCGAGGGCTGGTCCCTTCACCACTCTCCAGAGCAGTGTCTGTGGTTTGCAAGGCCTGATGGCACCGCCCTCTGACCAGCCTCATCATTCAGGGCCACCTCCACTCCACCCACCTACCCTCCCCGGCCAGGAGCCCCCAAACGAGCCTCGCGTCGCCCCCTGGCTTGCCTGGTTCTCTGGCTCCCCTCAACCTCCCCTGCGCAAGGCCTAGATACTCCTTACCAGGTCCCTCACCCCTGCTCCCAGCCCACCGGAATGGTACTCGCGCTGCAGGGATCATGACGCGGGCGAGACGGCGAGGCGCGGGTGACAGGCAACCCGCCTGCTCCCTCCTCGCCCCGCGGCACCGAAGGCCGGCTTCCGGCGGGGCGCTTAACTACCGCGAACCCCGGGATTGGGGGCGCACGGGTACCCCACCCCCATCCCGCGCCGCGCCGCGCCTCGCCTCACCTGCGGGCTGGGGTCGAAGACTTCCATGGGGATCTCTTGCGAGGGTGGGTAAGGGCCCCGGGACATGCTGCTCTTCTGGACCATGGAGAGGAGTCTCTGCTCCGGCCGCCGGGTGCCCTCCGCGCACGGAAGAGGCCGTCGGAGCCGAGCGCAGCGCCGTGAGCGCCCGTAGCCGCCGACCGCCAGGCCCGGCAGCCCTCTCGCTCGCCGCCGCCGCCTCCGCCCCCGAGACTCAGCATCCCCCCGCCCCCCGCGCCCCTCCCTCTCACCGCCCTCCCTCCTCGCCCGGCCCCGCCCCGCCCCCCGCAGCCCCTCCGCCTGAGCCGCGGGCCGCAGGCGGACGACGCAGGAGGCGACCCCTCGGGGCTCCGGCGGGGGTTGATCGGCGGCTGGGGCCGTGGAGGTGGGGAGAAGGTGTACACCAGTGCCCGCCGGGCGCTGCCGGGAGCGAGGGGCGCGTTGGCCAGGCCGGCACCTCTTCCTTTTCCGTCCTATGCCTGCTCTTTGAGCGGGTCATCCAAGCCCTCTCCTGCTTGGGCCACCGGAACTTCCCGGTCCCGGTGAGCCTAGGACCTGGCTTTAACTCCTTTCTCCCCAGTGTGGGCCCTGGAACCGAACAGCGTGGCCTCTCTTTCTCCATCCTGTCCCGGGGCTCTCGAGGGAGGCTGGGGCTAGGATGAGGTAAGTGGCCAAGGGGACAGCTGAGTGAGGCCGAAATCAGATCCTAAGACCTTTAATGTAAGATTGGTTTCTCTTTATCCTTGATTTGGGAACAGATATCCAAGGCCTAGGCCCCACCCACAGGGACTGGTGGAGAAGTGTAGAGCTTTTCAGCACCTTGTTCTCTATGCCTCAGGGTCTTTCTGACTGTGTGGCCAGGAACAAATCCCTACACTTCTCTGAGCCCTGTTGTTTCCCCATAAAATGAGGTTGCTGGCACTGTGATGCCTTTGTTATTGAGTTATTGACAGGATGAGAATTACAAGATGACTGGGGGGGCCTGGAGTTATGCCAGAAGGATCAGACAGGAAAGGAGGGCCCAGTGTTTCACAGAATGAAGGCTCATGCCCCTGAAATAAGGTCACTTTACTGTGTTCTGCTGGAGGACAGACAATGGGATGTGCTGCTTCCTCACTGTGGATTCTCATGAGCAAATGGCCAGTTAGCTGTCCGATCACATCGATCACATTGCCCTGGGAAACCTGGAGGTAGGCAGAACTATGAGCTAGGATGCAGTAGTAGCATTATTCCTTGTCCCACCTGCACTTTGGGGACAAGAGAGCCTGGCATGATATGGAAGGCATGGGCTTTGCAATCAGAAACACCTGTGTCCTTAATTTGTTGTCTTCATTGTAAAATGAGAGTAAGAGAAACCCAGTTTTGTTAGGCCGTGTTGTGAATGTTATTTTTCTTTCCCTCTTTTCGACCTTCTCTCGACCTACAAAGTGTTTACCAGCCAGGTGAGTGTGGATGAAAGAGATAACGATCAGCTTGAACCAAGTAAGGGTTGGAGCCAGAACTCACATCTAGGATTCTTGAACCTCTAAACACTGTCCTTGGTTTTGTTATTGTTGTTATTTGGGGTGTCCCTAGCCACTGGACTTTTCTTTCCCTTCCACTTTTGGCAGTCATGCATTCATCCCTTCATTCCTCCAGCCAATGCAATGTTTCTCAAATATGCACCACCGTGAGCTCTGTGCAGCATGAGTTCCCGACCTTAAGGAGCTTGCTGTCTTAATGCCTTCCTTTGCAAACTTTAACTTGTGATTTTCACAACTGGATGACAAAAACATTAGGATTAGGTCCACTTTACAGAGGAGAAAACTGAGGCACCAAACATGAAAAACCTGCAGTGGCATAAAAGCATTAAGCTGTCTTTTGGAGATCTATGCATTCTGTCCTCTAGAAGCTTCTATTTTACTACTAAAGTTAATTTTTAAAAGTTACATTTGACATATTATCATCATCTCTCGTTTCCTTTGCTAGTATGTTTACTGCTAACAAACACATCCTTTCCCAGAACCGGAACGCCAGCCACTAAAAGCCAGGATAACCCCCTCTCCTCACCTGGTTGACCCAAAGTGCCTTCCGGCCACCCAGTAGCCACGTGATCAGATGCGCTTAATGCGCATGTCTAAAAGGAAGTTGGGGTATACCACTTTGTCCTACAGAAGGGGTATGTGTCTAGGTTTTTAAAGTTAAACCTGTTAACCATTAAAAGGTTTCTCTGATTCCGAGTCTTTTAGAAGGATATAAGTGGGACTGAATTGAAAAAGAAGATGAAAGGGCCATAGAGAATACGAACAAAACCGGAGTGGACTTTGGGCTCTCCCCTTCGCACATAATGGGAGGAGCCCAGCCAGGCTGAGTTCTTTCCTTTTGCTGCGGCGGCAGCAGCCAAGCCATGAGGTGAGGACGCGCGGGCCTGGGTTATGGGGTTTCCTGGGTTGGCGGGGACGGGGGGGGCTCCGTGCTACGGACCTGGGTCTGGAAAAGAAGATAGAGGCAGCCCCGAAGCGAGAGATCCCAGAGTCTGGGGTAGGCCGAAGCACACGGGGCCGCGGCCTTTGATTCCGGGTCAGGCAGGCCGCGCCATCGCTAGGCCCGGGAACGGTGCGGTGGAGCGCAGGCAGCGGCAGGGCCTGGGCGGGGGATCACCGGGCACCTGGAGCCGAGCAGTCACGGCTGCCATGTGACGCGGGACCGGGTCCGGGCCCTCCGGGCCGAGGCGATGCGTGGCGCCCTGCCGCCTGCTGCTTGTAAGGGAGGTCACCAGGGAACCAGGCGAAGTTCGGGACTGCGACAGAACGAAGGATCGAGTTACGAAAACGGGTGTGCGCGATCGTAGGCAGGTGGTCTGCGTTACAGTCGCAGTCTAAAGGCTTTGGATACTTTATAAACACGTTAACAGCAGAAGCCTGGAAAAAGCATAGTTTAGCGTTAAGCCTTCTCTCAGAGCAACCCAGTGGATCGCAGAATTTTTTTTTTTTTTTTTTTTGGTCTTTTTCCTTTTTATCGGTACCAGGGATCGAACTCACGACTGCCTGCTTGCAAGCCAGGCGCTTTATGCCGCTGAGTTAAATCCCCAGCCCCCATCGCAGAACAAGAGCTCTTTTTGTTGCTTTGGGCTTGAGGTTTTTTTTTGTTTTTTGTTTTCCTTAGGCGGGGACTTGCTGTGTAGTGTAGTCTGGGCTTAAACGCAGAGCTCTCCTCCTGCTTCAGCTTTCTCTGTCCCGCCCAGCTAACTTAAACAGAGGGAAAGATTGTTAGTGGCGGGTGTCTTGGGGTGGGAGAGGGATTTGCCCTTAGTAAGTGCGTCTGCATACATCTTTATAGAATTTTATGAATCCAATTATTTGAATGCTGTGTTCCACATTAATACTAAAAGACTTTAACCAGGGGTGAATACACGAATGTGATCCCAGCTACTGAGATGACTGGGGCAGGAGAAAGTCCCACCCCCCCCCACTCCTGGGTGACTTAGTGGGACCCTTTCTCAAGGAGGGCTGGACTGGGAGCCTCTCAGTGGTAAAGTGCCCTCCTAGCAGATCGAGATCCAGGTCATGTCCTGAATGGCAAGAGAAACTGGAAGGCTTGAGGGCAGGTCTTCTCTGGGCCGCTCCTTGCCATCAGCAGGGCTTTTAGGAACCTGATTCCTGTTTTGTGTGTCCCAGTATGCTCAGGCTTCAAAAGAGGCTGGCCTCCAGCGTCCTCCGCTGTGGCAAAAAGAAGGTTTGGTTGGACCCCAATGAAACCAATGAAATCGCCAATGCCAATTCCCGTGAGTACCTGACACCGCTCTCCTGCCTTCCTCCCCTGTGCCCAGTCTTGTGTCTGTGGAGGAGGAGGTCGCAGAGGATCCCTTTCCTGCCTTTCAATACACAGATTGGCATATAACACAGCCACCAGTGTCACGTTATAGACTGCTTCTGAAGTAGGTGTTCTGCTTTATGACTGCAGCAGTTGGAAAAAGAAAAGCTGCTCTGGGACCAGGAATTTAGCTCAGTGGCACAAGCTTCTGCTTGGCAAGCACAGGGTCCTGAATTTGATACCCCCTCTCCATACCAATAAAAAGTACTCTGAAGAGTAGCCAGGTGTAGTGTGGTGGCATATCAGAGGGTGAGGCAGAAAGGTCACACAGTGAGCCCAGCCTGGGTAATATAATCCTTTTTCAAAATTAAAAGGGGCTGGAAATTCAGCTTCCTGGGAGGACATGGGCTCAACCTGCAGTACCAAAAGAAAGCATTAAAAAATAAGGCTGGTCATGATGGTACATATCTGTAATCCAAGCTCTTGGCAGGCTGAGGAAGGAGGATCACTGTTTTCAGGGCCAGCTTTAACCACATGAGTGAGCCCTTGTCTCAAAAAAAAGAAAAAGAATGTCAGGTGTGGTGCCACACACCTGTAATCCCTATTCTGGGGAGACTTAGGACAAGTTCAAGGCCATCCAAAAAGAAAAAGCATGAGGGGGCCAGGGTTGCAGCTCAGCAGCTCAGCAGCACAGCCCTGCCTGGTAAGTGTGAGGCTGTGCATTGATTCCTGGTATGAAAAAGAAAAGAAAAGGCCCTCAAGGTGGAGAAGACCTGAGGCTTCAGACAGGCCATAGAGGCTTGGCATGTGTCTGCTGGGGGCATCTGAGCAGGTGGCTTAGCCCTATGGTTATCATGGATATAGTTAACCCTGTGCTGCAAAGCATTTTTTAAAAGGCAAGGGGTAAGTTTCAGTGTTTCTCACCATTCTTGGGACTGACCAGGATGTGGGCGCTGTTTTGGGTTTTGGCTGGGTCTCTGCTGATGGTTAGGGGCTACTTTGTGCTTCCAGGTCAACAGATCCGGAAACTGATCAAAGATGGGCTGATCATCCGCAAGCCTGTGACTGTCCATTCCCGGGCGCGATGCCGGAAGAACACCTTGGCTCGCCGGAAGGGCAGGCACATGGGCATCGGTAAGCACAACCATCCCTATCCTGAAGTCCCTTTGTAGGCGGGAATATTGAAGTTGTTGTAAAATGAAGTCATCTACTTAAAATGAAAGTGGATAGCCAGATACGGTGCCTATAGCCCTAGCCTTGAGGATGAGGCAGGAGGATTGCCCTGAGTTTAAGGCTAGGCAGAACTACAGAGTAAGACCATAGCTATTTGTTGCCCTGGGTCCTGGTTAGCTCCTAGCTCCTAGATGGCTGTCCCCACAGGTAAGCGGAAGGGTACGGCCAACGCCCGCATGCCTGAGAAGGT